TGTAATCATGCTCCAGATAGGATCAATTGCCATTCTTTTTTACCACAGTCCCGCTTACTCTATTCGTATAAATATCTCAGTTACAGTACGTAATATTGGCTGTAATCGTCGTTGTTTGTTATCATTACATGGTATGTATTTTTTGTAATTTCTTTAGAAGGTTTCATGGACGTTGCAAGAGCACTTTATTATTTAGCGCAGATATCTTACATGGTAACCTTGCATCCCCTTCACCGGACTTAAAGTCAGTAGATATTTCTTTCGGGTATTGATATCCAAATAACCTCCCAGCATGTGATCTATTCAATCGTTCAATGATTGCCTCTTTATGATGAATTCAGAAGGTCATCGTCTAATTTTAAGGTTATGTTTGTTTTCATCAACGATAATACTGCACCAAGAACTTATTTACCATGATCAACTTGTAATAGCTGTGGCTATCGTAGACCATCACGAATATAAATTCGTTCAAACTCCCGTGTAAGTTCAGATGCTGTACTAGTTGATACAACGCCAACGATAGCCAATGCTTTTTGTATGCGCGTGACGTTTGTCCAGCATGATTTTTGTCCACGTGTTTTAATAGTATCATGTTGTAAAAACAAAATATCTTCTTGAAGTGCTGACATCAAAATGTGCGTATTGAAGTTGTATAGGTGGTGGTAGATATATTTTGCCATATTGTTTGTTGTTCAGCAACAAAACCGTGAAACGTTTGCTGCTTCAGCATGTTTACTAGTCGCTGATATTCCTCTCCAATAATCTCTAGGGCTATAATAAATATATTCCATTAGAATAGTTATATAAATAGTTTTAAGCCCCTTACAATATTTCACTTTTCATAGCGGATTTTATTGAAAACTAGGGAATTGTTTCTGAGAGATTTATTAGGCACAAAATTTAATGCATAATTAATTTTATATCTGCGAGATGTCATTGTTGCAAATTTTACTTTGTAAGAGACAACATGAACATGACACACTTGATCAATCTTATTTATTGGACGCCTTACTGGTCTTTAGGGGCCACAAGTGGCAGAGTGTTCTAAAGCGCTCTCCGTTACCGATCACTGCCATCTCACCTCTGGCTGCTTGGGTTCGAGTCTAAGATTCGGCGTATGTAGATATGTGTGAACGCCTGCCAATATCTTTTCTGGGTCGGTGGTTATTTCCGCGGATTTCACGGTTCTGCCTCCACCATTATTACTGGCCTCCATGTATAACCTATTGTGTGCTGAAAATTGGCATTATGCCCGAGAACAACAACAAATCTCCTGGTCTTGGTTGATCTTGATCATCAAGTCGGATATCTAGTCGAGTTCCAGGAACACACTAATTATATCTATGAAGGGTTTCCTCGCTGGCGTATTTTGCCCATGAAAGTCCTGGCAATGTCTCTAATAAAGCGCGTATATCTTCACCTGGTTATATCCCTGAATCAGGAATGTCGTTGAATTTGTATATTGGTGTATCTCTCTTCTCGCATTTGCCTGTTTATGAACGTTGTTTATTTCTTGTTTTTTGCGTTGTCAATCCAAACAAAATATAAAATTGTGTTATTAATAATATGTATTCATTATTTGACCTTTTTGTCGACACGAAAACAATAACCAGTAAATCATTCGTAGATGATTAGCATTGTTATAGAGTACTTTATGATTTTAACGAAAAGCGAAATCAATTAATAAAAACTGACGATATTTTTGACTTTATCACCAACATTGATGAAGCCGCACCTGTACATGTCTTAGATGGTATCATTAATAATCTCGTGGTATATGATAATGTGATGTTGGAGAAACAATCAAATCTAGCTAGAATATTTTCTTGAGGTAGACATAAAAATACTGACGTGATTAATGTCACACAACGATATACTCAAAGACCTAAGTAATTAGAGACAATTGCAATATTTTAGTTGTTCTTAATGGAGTGGATAATTATACTTTACAAAATATTTATTATGCTTGGTGTTCAGAAGATATGGAATTGATTAGGTTTAAAACTTCTTTTCATAAGCACAAGCTGTTCCATTTATAACAATAAATCTACATGTACCAAGTTCCAGATGGACTATATGTATGTATGTATGTATGTATGGATACAATTTTTGATTAATTTATAGCAGAAGAGAGGGTGAACGAAACAAATTGAATGTCCTTGCAAGTAAACGAAATCGCATACAAATTTAAAAAAAACGTAAACAACAGAATAACAAAATTGAGCGAACTTAAGCAATTTATTATTCTCAACCGTATAGAAATATACTCGATTAGATGCTAACGTTTAAGGTTTTAAGTCGATGTAGGAACCTTTATTTTTTGGTAACTGATTTGAGCAAAACCTTGTAGGGTCCACCCTCTATGATGTTAATAAGTTTAGAGCAAAGACTGAAGACCTAACAACCTGAAACTGCTCGAAGGTCGATTCCATCCAAAGCGTTCTTTCACATTTGCAAAGCGATGAACGTTGATTATAATATCCCGGCTGAAGAGTTCTCATAAAATGTCATTCATTTTATGGTCACATTGTTTGCTGAGTCCTTTAACATCTTATTACTTGGTCACGTTTATGCACCAACAGACTTTTAGCTGTGAAAGCAAATTAAATTGTGGGATCAGGAAAATATTGTTTAGATAAAATAACATACAATAGTCTCTCTCTTTGTACATTCGGTACGATGTCAATAACTTTTGATTGCACTGTTTCAAAGATAGAAAATAAATATAGTGGCCATTCTAAACTAGAGTCATGATAAGGGTAGACAGAAAAACTGATGAGTGGATGGATGGACTGGTCTTACAGTCTATAGCATTCTAAGGATAAATAATTCTCGGATGACGATGATGGCCCAAGGAGTGTTTTCGTTCCCAATGACCTCTGGCGCCCAAGGCAAAAACACAGTCTCACCCCACCCCCGACATTAGTAAGCTATTGACATCAATAACCATATACAACAAATCTTAACTTCTTACTATCAATATATATAAGTAGTAATTAAAAGTATCTCATAGTTATCTGATTAAAATTTGGACAGCCGTGAAAATCTAACAATGACAGACAGAATGCTATGCATTGCACACTTACGGAATGACATAAAGTCATCCTCTTTGGTTAATGATTCCACAACTTTTGCATGAAAATACAGCGTTTCGACGTATCTGCTAACCCCATGGGCATTAACTGGTAAATTTCGAACGGTTTTAAGAACAGTTATTCCGACAAAACTATAAACGTTTTGATGCATTTGTTTTCCATTACATGTGCCAATCTTGCTCGCGCACTGCAACACATTGTTTCTTTTTTTACAATCATATTCAAGTGTAATTTAAAAGAATATAATTAAAGATTAGATCGAACTTATAAGCGGACATTCCATTTTGCTACAGACGTTGATATAAATAAACTTTATATATAGATTTGCCCTGGCGTGGTTCGTTAGGATTATTTTTTATATCGCGAAGAGTTTCTTTTTTTATCGCTTCATATTATTTTATGTTTGAAAGCCACGTTTGACACAATAATTGCTATAGTATGCTAAGGAAATGGGGGTAGAATGCATTTTAGGCGCCAATCACTTCATACATGGCTGCTCTCTTAAAAAATTTGAAATATTACTTTTTAATTATTCTATTATTTTACATCGCATTGAAAATACAAATAGTTGCTACAATACACATTTTGGATTGTAGTAGATACTTTGCAGATAACAAACTGAGTGGTTTGAATTCAAGTAACACATTTACTATAAATTATTCTACAAAGACATTAATCTTTTATTTCATAAGCATAAATCAATTTTCTACACATTATTGTCTCTGTATTTCTTACCGCCATTAAAAATGATGCTGTTTTTTGTTACTGCTATGATTAAAGCTGAATCAATGCATATATAATACAGATGCGTGAGACCCAAATAATAGGCACAGTGTACTACATTTCATAGAATAATAATTTAAAATGTTATTGACTTTTTGATAATTACCATTTAAAACTAAAGTCTAAACCAAACATTTGGATTACTTTATGGTCTGATATGTGGTATATTTAAGTTGCTGAAGTGCGATAAATCATGTGTAGGTAACTAGTGTGCACAGATAAATATACAAAGGAACGCGGTACGTTCAGCCCGAATGGCATTACATGATACACAGGATTAATATTGTTAGGAAAAATATAAGCTGCGATTAGTAAAACAAAACTAAAATCAGTGACTCACCAAATGTTGTTTCTGTCTAAAACAATAATACTTATAAAATAATAGGCTGCAAATAATTTCACAGTCAGTGAATCAATACACTGAAAGGCGAATTGAGCTGGAAAATAAAGTACTAAATTTTCTGACATATACCGAGCGACTGTTAAATTTATATAAAATTTTACAATATTGATACCATAAATATCAAAATGTATGTTATGTTATATTTTCAAATATGCCATTTCTGTCTTCCATAAGGTCACAGGATGTGCTTCTGCTCTCCTCGATATGTGCATTTTATGTTAAATTCTACAATAATTTCTTATCATTCGACAGACATTTTGAATTTTATTGTGCAATAAAAAAATAAAATCACTATTATATTATAATTATTTTAGGAACAATCACACACATCACACACAAACACACACACACACACATATATATATATATATATATATATATATATATATATATATATATATATATATATATATATATATATATATATATATATATATATATATATATATATATATATATATATATATATATATATATATATATATATATATATATCTATATAGATATATATATATATATATATATATATATATATATATATATATATATATATCATATATCATGATATATGTGGCTTGATGAACCATCCAATAAATGTGGCTTGATGAACCATCCAATCACATTATCCTGACAACAGGCGGACGAGTCCTAACACTAACCTCTTATTTTTGTGCGTCAAGCAAGGCAGCTGTTAATACCATTTTTGTAAGTCTTTTGTATGACTTGACCGGGGATCGAACCCACAACCTCCCGCAGTTGAGGCGGACGCTTTAACCACCAGGCCAACGGAGCAGTGTAACAATTGTTGTGACCACTCTAAATGGTCCTCTTTGCATGGTTTGTGATTTGAACCTTCGACCAGAATCTGATGTCATAAATGACAGCACTGATTTGCAAACGACTGACATAAGAACAAGACAATCATTATCAATAAGCCCATTTATTTAACATTCACATTAAGACAACTGAATAATGTTTAAGAGGATTTATGAAATTGAGAGGATTTAAATGGCCAAAGCGACCGAAACACTGTTTCCTACCTAAGCTGGTCAGGATTAGGTTGTCGTATTATTTGATTCATATTAAAGCTCTAGACGGAGTAAACTGATGGATTAGAGCTGGAGATTATCTTATGCAGTAGCAGGTATGGAAGAGTAAGGATTTCACAGATCGATTCACTTAAAAACACAGACATATGACAAACAAATCAAGGAAACAATAACCAAAAAGAGACGGATAATTAACAGATAAACAATGTAAATCAAAATTTTGCATATCTATCTATCTATCTATCTCTCTCTCTCTCTCTCTCTCTCTCTCTCTCTCTCTATATATATATATATATATATATATATATATATATATATATATATATAATTTTATCAATATACACTTAATGGGAATATTTCAATTATAAATTGATATCAGCTATGAGATATGTGAAGTTGTTTTATAGTTAAATCAAACCATGTGTATATCATTTGTACTTTATTAAACTTCTATTGCTAAGCAGTTAAAAAGGTCAAAGCTTGAGAATCTGGTATTGTATACATGTACCTAGATCAATTAGATTCAGTTAAATGACATGCATGCGTGCTCACAGACGCGATAAAATATTCAAAACAATTATTGTTTAGATGCAGAGGTAAACAGTAAGAAAAGTTAGTAGAACAATATTGGACTAAGGTATTTACTAACCAATATTTTTTCAATGTAATCTACGATTATGCATAATTTGCAAAACAATTATTGATCGCTGAAGTTTTAACTGCACGCTTTATGAAGTCTTGTACGTAGCTAGAATTTGCATTGGTGTTTGCGATTTTTTTGTGCGACCATCCGCTATGATTACCCAACCCCGAAATATTGATTGTTATTGAAGCCTTACTTGTTATAACTTTTTATCCCAACGTCAGTATGCATTGGAGTATCCTGGATATATTTTTTAGAAGCACTCGCCTATTTTTAGTAGCAAAACAAGTGTGCACTACAATAAGAAAAACTTAACATATCATGATTAAATGTTCATTGGAATAGTGAAACAAAATATGTGTAATTTCATTAAAAGAGCGGATCAATTGAAATTAGTGCGTCGTACTATAGACAAATGACTGAGCATACTGTATGAGAATTGCTATAATTTTAACCGTGATGTTACTCAGATAAAAATAAAATATTGATAACAATGGCGTTATGAAGTGTCACTGGTTTTTGAAAGCTGAAAAGATATGAATGAAAATTGCTTATTTTGCTTTTTTGATGATTACTTTGTTAAATTGGCGCCCTGTATAACCTGTATATGAGATTGGCGTCAGTGTTCTAAAAAACCGAACCTACGCTAATCCAAAATTATGGTGTTCACATTATATTATTAAGTTATCATTCACAACAAAATATTTTCATTTTGAAGGCATTTCTCGTCAGAAAATTAAATATGATAATAATTTCTTGAACCGAATGTTTGACGTAGCCTTTGATCTCATATTGCATTAGTTCAGTAAACCAATGGCTAACATCATTACATAATACATTAACTTTTGCAGCAACTCTATGTCTTCTGTCACAACAAATTACTAACGTTACCTGACCGTTTAAAATTCATAATTCATCTCCCAAGTTAATCGTCGTACCACTATCGTAGATATTTTGCATTTTTCCAATGAAACTTCAATAAGAATGCAACGGTAAATTTATATATATATATATATATATATATATATATATATATATATATATATATATATATATATATATATATATATATATATATATATCTATATATATATATATATATATATATATCTATATATATATATATATATATATATATATATATATATATATATATATATATATATAGACACACAAAAGCACACACGCAAACACACATATGTATGTATGTATGTGTATATATATATATATATATATATATATATATATATATATATATATATATATATGTGTGTGTGTGTGTGTGTGTACCTGTATAGGTTATATGCAGACGTTTCGGTTGGTCATATATTAAATAGGTGTACGGTTATACAAGGACATATAAAGATAAACACATGTATAAGCACACATATACAACTAACGCAAAGAAGAGAAAGATAATAGCCCCGGATTAAAATAAAGATCTTAAATGTCAGGATGACATCGACAAATATAATCTAACAAACAACATTATCGATGAAGTATCATCAAGTCCAAATGTTTACAAATCAACCTCTTCCTAATCGATTACACAACAAAGTGAGAAAAAATAAACGGAAATCGCAATTCATATCCAGAATCTACAGAATGTTTGCTACATATGTTTACCGAAATATATAACGAAGTATTAAACAAAACGAGAAATATTGAATGCTGCAACGTTTATCGATACTACTGGCGGGAAATGTATATGATCCACAAAGCAAATATGTTTTAACTTCCAAATATTTAGACATAAATCCAAAATTGAACTCAGCTATTTGCTATAATAATAGGTCAAATATACAATATTATGAAAAGATGCCAGAAATGGAAAGTCATATGCTTGGATTTACCTGTCAGATAAAATGGCTACTTTTACGTGATATTGAATTGTGTGCGAAAATAAGAATCTGAAATAAAGTTCTGTTTATTTAGTTTCTTGCTTTACTTCCAATATCATTATTTGGTATTTTGAATATTTACCAAGTTTTGTAATTTAGTTTGAGAAGATTCACTACCATTGATACCATCCCAATTCGCTCTGTTTTCTCTCTGTAGTTTGTATTCTGTAAGAATCTAAGTTTTGCTGTAACACTGACAAGCATAATATATACGTCTCTGGACATAACCTAACTACATGTTTTATTTTTTTCCCGCATTTGTTTCTTCTATTTTAAAGTCAACTAAAACATTGCATTGAATGCAACGAAGGCAGAAATTAAACAGTTAAATTTGGTATGTTCTTGTCATATAATGGCTGGATATTATCTAGTGTGTTTTCAATGCAACCACTGATAACAATGTACCAGTCAGGAACATTAGAATCAAACACTTAAGAACATTGGCCAATACAGTATTATAGCACTAGATTTATGTTGGTATGATGTTTTTAAAGATATATTAAATATTTACTGGTTGTTCTAGATTTTGTTATTATCTTATTTACCCCTGACCGTTCCTGGATTATTATAAAACATAGTTAATGGTTGAGGTGTCGATATGCGATCTTTTGATATAGGATGACATTTGTTTATCGCGAATTTACAATTATTGCAGATACGCTGGAAATTAAATGCAATGTACGAAAGTTGAGCCTCTTCAAAAAATAATAAATGTGTATATGTTTTCTACCTTACACATTAAAACTATTTTAATTTAACTATGTTACAGATGTAATATAATTTATTTGATTCTCATAGTTATCCTTGAACTAACAGAATTGATATATAGATTTACATGATAAAACATTGAATAATGATCATTATAGATGCTGTTCCTTTCATCGAAACGCGAATGCAATCGCATGTTGAAATGCTGCATATTGGGTTTAGACTCTCTCAGAGTATGTCTCAGTCTTTTTCTGTCTGTCTGTCTGTCTGAGGCATAACTGTACCACTTCAGTTTGCACTTTTTTAAGTCGTCAAGAGGTTTTCATATGATCCGATACCTCTCTTGATCATGTTGTGTGCTTCTTCGATGATTACGTGGTCAATGTATGAGATGCCCAATATGTTGCGGTAGCAACTCATTTCAACGGTCTGAATATTTCTTTGTAGTGGCCGAGTGGTCTGAAGCCCGAGTGGCCGAGTGGACTAAAGCGCTCATCAATATCTCAAGTTTCTTTTTGCGTGGGATTGGTTTCCCGGGTTCGGCCAATCTGGGTATGTGAGAAAGCTTGCCGGTAGCTTCTCGTGGGTTGGTGGTAAGTCAGCGATTTTTCTGGGTTCATACTCCACCATTAATAATGGCCGCCATGTATAGACTATCTTCGGCTAAAAATTGGTGTTAAACCCAACAACAACGTTACAGCTTCTGTCTTTTGACCTTTATGTCTGTACTGATGCCATTGGCGCTACTTGTCATCAATTTGATTTTTCTGCGTCAACGTCTACACTGTATACTGTCGAGGTTGCCTCGAGGAGCTCATTCAATTCAGCCATATATATATGTATATAATATAGACAGCTTTAAATAGAGGCGTAATATTTGATATTTTAAGTAGCAGTTCTGGATGGCTGACATAGGAGCCACTGTTATTGCTTTTCCACTATCATCAGAAAATGTAACCTCCCTTGGTGTTCAGGTTGAGGTGACGATGACGGAAAAAGCAATTCTTGGGTATGGTGGGTGTGTTTTGAAGTCATAGACTGGTTTTATACCTTTTATTTTCTTGGCTACGTCCTTGCAAGCCATATTCGGTTGATATAGATCTCCGGAACTAAAAAGCGATCCATATAATGTTTAGGTCTGCTTGAAGAACAACGTATTGAAAAATAATCAATGTATTTAACATAGTCCGTCTTTCATGATTTGTATCCCCTGATGCAGGTATACTATAGCAGATTTGCAGATCTTAAAAGAGGAAAATTTGATGAGGTTTCGTGTTCCCATTTGATCACTATTTCGCTAGATTAGATGAAATTACTCATGCTTCTAATCCTAAAATCGAGACGAGAAAAACATTGTGTAGATCGATCATATGAGAGAAAAAACGTTACTTACTAAATAAGAAAAGGTCATCATATTAGTTTAAGATATGTATGTAATTGATGAGACAAATTCATCATTGTATTCGGTTTTCTAAATTACTATTGT